TGAATCCAAGGTCAGCAGACCTCGGGGTAGTGGCTGTAGAGGTGGATGAATCCATGGCCGGCAGGTCAAATGGAAGGCTAGTGAGGATTCCAGATTGAACAAAAAGCCAACAGCTTTCCCATATCCCCGAGGACACTGTCTTTCAATTGATTGGTTGCCCATAGATGTCATTGTGGAATGGATTGCATTATCTTAGCTCTCATCATGGGGAGAGACTGCATCTTCATAGCCAAGCCACTGAGAATCCTGGTCCCGCCAGGTGGTCGCACAACCTTCGTGAGCACAGTGTGTCAGGTGGTTTTGCACTTGACTGCTCATGAAGGTTGGCAGTTGATGGTTCAAAAAGTTGCTACCGGTTGGAACCAACTTCATGGCACCCAGCAACGACAAGATCTGCACCCAGGAGTCCCTGGGGAGGTGGGGTGGGTGTGGGGCACAGACAGTTAACACCCTTAGCTGCTAACCAGCAAAGTTGGCAGTTTGACTCCAACCAGAGGCACCTCAGCAGAAAGTCCTGGCGATCTCCTTCCCAAAACCCCAGTCACTGAAAACTCTGTGGGGCCCAGCTCTCCTCTGACACACCTGGGGTCACCATCAGTTGGAATCGACTCATCAGCCACCGAACTCTTACTCAGCAGGAAACTGGTGAGATAAGTGGGTCCCAACTTGCCCAGGAGTACAATTAGAGAGGGGTCCTGTTAGAACAAAAAGCAGTATTAAGCCAATAATTGAAATGGATTGTTTTTCTATTTCAATGTGTAAATTGCAAATTAGGGCAAAATCTCTCGCTAAAGAGTAAAAAATATTCCAAAGAATAAATTCTTCCACAGCTGTTTACACTGCAGTTCATTGCCAGGCAGTGTCCATTGCCATGGAAACGGCCAAAACATACATGATGGCTTGTGGACATGCAGCATTTTCTCAAAGAACAATTCCAGTGACTCCGGGTTGTCCCTGAAGCACAAATTTTAATTGGATCCTCAGAATGTCTATTGTCAGATACTCCTTTAAAAGAGCCTGATGCCCAAGGTAAAGATTCTTTACTGGGAAACCCATTTTCTTGAGGTCTAAGCTTCAAAGAGCACTTCAGGGCAATGGTTTGGGGGGATCATTTCAACCTCCACAGAATCCAGAAAGCTAGATTCCACGAGCATCGGACGCTCGGTTCCTCAGTGCCTTGTCTCATTGAGGGGGAAACAGTTGTGCCCCAAGGACAGTGTACAAAGTTGTGCACATTCCGCTGGGCTGCAAATAAAGAGCAAACGGAACCTTAAGAAACAAAACAAGCCCCTCTCTCTAAACGAATCCTTTTATAAAGAGTCTGGCTGCTCAATCTTGGAGCTATTTGGAATTACAAAGAAATGGCCCATGTGAATGTATATCTTTCAAGTAATTCTTGACAGGACACAGTTTGGGCTTGAGGTCTCCCACTTAGGAGGATGTAGCTCTGTGGCCAAAGTCTCTCCTATTCTGAAAGTCACAACTCCCATTGTACATCGATTTGACGCAGAAGGTGTCGTCAGAACAGGGAGTTTCCCAGTGCTCTCTTTGTAAAGGACCAGGAAGCCGACGCAGCCCAAATACCACACGCTGCATTCAGGAACTCTCTGGGCGAGTCAGGCACGGAGTGTACTGGTCTCCGAGGGAGGCAGGGCCACTGTGACTCCTAGCTCTCTGATTCCCCAAGCAGGGCCCTTCCAGGGAGAGATCCAAGAAAAGACTCTTGGCACAGGCTCCGCCCCCACTGTCACCAGCAGCTGCACCATCTGTCCCACTCTCACAGACAGGTTGCCTCTGCTTTCCAGACCTGCCACCTGTCACTAAGCAGCATGAGCCCCTAGAGCAGCGGTCCCCACCTTCCTCACGCCGCAACCCTGTCATCCACTTCCTCATGGGGTGGGGACCCCCAACCATACGATTATTTTCATGGCTACTCCATAACTGTCGTTTTGCTACTGTTATGAATCGTCATGTAAATATCTGATATGCAGGATGTATTTTCATTGTTACAAATTGAACATAATGAAAGCATAGTGATTAATCACAAAAACAATATGTAATTATATATTGTGAAATGTTTCTTTCTAGTTGCAATAGATGAAATTTTGTCTTGAAGCACGGTGTAGCCTGGGTAACAGTCTTAATAGAACAACAGTACACCACATTGCTACATTTTGCAGCAGTGTGCGTAAAAAGCCAACGTCAGTGAGATGGCTGAGATAACGTCTTTCTCACCAGATCAGCACATCTGCATGTGCGGAGACCTGCCTGGAGATGAATAGAGGAGCGGTGTCTCCGTTCCTAAGACCATCAGAAATACATGTGACCCCTGTGAAAGGGTCATTGGACCCCAAAAGGGGTCGTGACCCACAGGTTGGAAACCACTGCCATAGAGGAAGGAGGGCCAGAGAGTGTGTGTGTACATGCGAGTGGGCACGCTAGGGGACAGATTAAATAAATGACAGAGGGAGAACAGCCCCCTAGCCCACACATCTGTCTTTCTGTGATAATGCCACTGCGTTCATTTCCTAGAGAGGAGCCCTGGTGGCACAAGGGTGATGAGCTCAGCTGCTCACCAAAAGGTCGGCAGTTCAGACCCACCAAGGCTCCAGGGGAAAGACCAGTGATCAGCGCCCATAGAGACCACAGCTTACGAGGTTGTGGGGGTCAGTTCTACTCCGGCACACGTGATCACTGTAGATCAGAATCAACTCCCGGCACACAGCCCCCGGCAACTTCAGATGGTACCACAGTCTGGGCAGAGTAAAACAACAGAGGTTTGGGGTCTCATAGTTCTGGAGGATTGATGCCCAAAATCAAGGGTCATGAGTCCTGAGCATGGATCGGCCCACAATCAATGCTTATGGAAGTAGCAAGTCAAGAGACCAAGAGACACATTACATTGGGTAAACCGGCTGCACAAGATCTCTTTAGCGTATTGAAACGCAAGGATGTTACCTTGAAGACTGAGGTGTGCCTGACCCACGCCTTGGCATTGTCAATTACTTCTTATGTGTGTGAAAGCGGCACACGGAACAAGGAAGACTGGAGAAGAATGGATATGCTTGCATCGTGGTGGGAGAGGAGACACGGAACGTGCCATGCACTGCCAGAAGTATGCACAGGCCCCTCTTGGAAAAAATGCAACCAGAGTGCTCCTTAGAGGCAAAGATGGAGAGACTTTACCTCATGGACTTTGGGCATGTGGTCAAGAGGGACCAGTCCCTGGAGAAGGACATCGCCAGTGAAGATGAGGACAGGCCTCGACATGATGGATTGACACAGTGGCTGCAACAATGGGCTCAAGCGTAAAACCAATTGCGAGGGCGGCGCAGGACCGGGCAGTGTCTCGCTCTGCTGTGCACGGGGTTGTGTGGCTTGGAGCTGACTCTGGGGCACCTAACAACAACTCTCTCTGAAGGCTGTGGGGAAGCATTCTTCCTGGTCTGTACCTCGCTCCAGGTGGCTCCTGGCCATCCTGGCACTCGCTGGTTTCTAGATGCACCTGTCCACTCTCTTTTCTGTGCCTCATGTGGCCATCTGCCCTCTGAATCTGCATCTCTTCTCCTTTTTGTGAAAGGACACCAGTCATCTTACACGAGGACTCACCCCCCTCAGGTTGACTGGTAACATCCTCAAAGACACCATCCCTGGGGTGAAGTGGAACTTCTTAACGTAGCTCTTCTGTCCAGGGCTCTGTAACTCCCACCAAATGATTAGGGGGAACTATGCAAACAAGGTGTGTGAAACACTGATGGAAGGGATTGGTCGGTTTTAGTTGCCATTCCCCTGTGTATACAAGAGTCTATCAGAAGCCAGGAACAGAGACCATAACTCTTTATGGGAGTAGAAAGCCTCATACTGAGGCTTGGGGGTGGGGTACTAGAGTTTTTCTGGTGTTTTAGAAAAAGTCAAATGAATATGAGACCCAGATCGCTGCCTCAAATATCTTACAATTCCTGTCTATCTACATAAGCTAGGCTTGAGAAGCAAGCCTGAGGAGAAAGTAACAGGACCAATGGTTCGGGGTGGGGGTGGGAGGTGTTGGGGCAGGAGGAGGTGGGGGGAAAGGGAGTGGAGAGTAAATAACATCATGGGTAGGGGAACAACTAGGGATCTAAAATCAACGGTGAAGTGGACGTAGTGTTCCTGGTCGTGTTGGACCAGCTGTAATCTAGCCGAGAGGAATTACAGAGAGCCAACCTAAGGGTGAGGGTGATAGTGGAGCAGGAGGAAGGTAAAAGGAAATAAAGTAAAGAATCAGGAAGCAAAAGTATTTATAGAGGTATAACTATAGACATGTATATATGTAAATATATTAGTGTATAAAATTAGGGGTATTGGCCTATGTACATATATTTATATTCACAATATATTGAGGCAGTGGACAGATGCTGGGCCTCTACTTAAGTATTCCCTCAACACAAGAACACTTTGTTCTAATAATGTGGCACTGGGCGATGCCCACTTCCCCGACACGATCGATAGCTGAAGACAAACTGATGCATAAGCAAAAGTGGTGAAGAAAGCAGATGGTGTCTGGCTATTAAAAGATATAACATCTGGGGTCTTAAAACCTTGAAGCCATACAAGTGGCCATCTAGCAGGGAACCAACAAAGCCCACATGGTGGAAGAAGCACATCAGCCTGTGTGATCATGAAGTGTCGAACGGAGCAGGTATCAGAAATTCAAAAATAAACAATCTCATTGAGGTGAAGGAGCGGGGTCAAAGTAGAGACCTAGAGCCCATCTGTGGATAATCAGATAATCCCCCACAGAGGGGCTGCACAGAAAAGAAGATACATCCTACACACACAAGAAACACTCACACTCCTCTAGTTCTTTAATCCTTCCTCCCTCTACTATTATGATCTCAGTCCTACCTTGCAAATCTTGCTAGACCAGTGTAAATACACCAGTACAGATGAGAGTTTTCAATATACAGAATTCAGTATAGACAAACCCCCTTGGAAACAGTAATGGGAGTAAAGATTACAGAAGGGTAGAGAAAGGGAAGGGGAAGAAAACGGAGGGAAGGGGTAACAGGTAGCAATGATGATAGAAATAACCTCCCTTGACGGGCATGAATACCAGGATAGTAGGTGAAGGGATAGAATGGGCAGTGTAAGATATGTATAAATAATAATAACAATGCATAATATATAAAGCGTTGCCAGAGGTGTTAGGGTGGGGGAGGGAGGGAATAAAGAGGAGCTGGTATCAAAGGGCTCAAGAAGAAAGATAATGTTTTGAAATTGTTGATGCCAACATTTGTACATGTCTGTTTGATATAATGGATGAATGGATTGTTATAGTATATGTAAGAGTCCCCAATAAAATGTTTTATTAATTAAAACATTGAAAATAGCAACAGCATGGGGGGAGCGGGGAGGGAGGGGAAAGGTGAGGACCTAATGTCAGGGGTTTAAATGGAGAGAAAATGTTTTGAGAAACGATGTACAAATGCGCTTTACACAATTGATGTGTGTATGGATTGGGATAACAGTTGTATGAGCCCCTAATAAAATGTTTAAAAAAAAGAAAAAGAAAATAGCAACAGCAAAATTATATATTTCAATTCCTGAGACCCTATAGTACAGAGTAGAACTATGCCATAGTAGTTCTGCAGGGTTTTTCAGGCTATAAATCTTTACAGAAACATACTGCCTCATCTTCCTGCTGTGGGGTGGCTGGTGAGTTCAAACCTTTCGGTAAGCAGCCGTACGTTTAACCCACTGCAATACCAGAGCTCCTCTGGACTGCTTATCTTATCCTAAAGCCAAGGGAATACCAGCATTTACAACCATTCTCTACCTGGGTCTCCCCTAATCAAGTCCCCACAGACAGCGTCTCCACTCCATTGCGCCTCAGCTTGCTGAAGAACCCAGCCAGGCAAGGAGAAAGGTTAGGGGATCAGCTGTTGAAGTAGAGAAGCTTTGGAAATGCTCGAGGAGCCCTGCTGGCAATAGTAGTTACCCATGGGGTCGTGATCCATAAGGTCGGCAGTTCAAAACCACCACATGCTCCAAGAGAGAAAGACTGGGCTTTCTACTCCCATAAACAGTTGCAGTCTTGGAAACTCACAAGGGCAGTTCTACCCTGTCCTATGGGGTCGCTCTGAGTTGGCATCGACTCAGTGATAGTGAATGAATTGGGGAAATGGGTGGGCTGTGTATCAAGGCATGTTGATCAATTTCCATAATCCCTCCCTTCCCTCCACAGGGATGTCACTGCCCTCGCTGTGAGTTGATAGGGTGCATTCTGTTAGCCCTCTAAGCGCTTGTAGGCTCACTCACCCAGTGCACCCTGTGCCAACAAGGTGCCCTCCAGATCCGCACTGAGTGCTTCCAAACCCCCCTAAGTTAAATTTCCAGTAAAAATGTGAGTAAACCTATTTATATCTAACCTACTCTTGCATTCTTAGCTATAAGCCAGATCGGACTTTCCCGCACGTGCCCCTAGATGTGTATGCACGTGTATGCACATTTGCTGGCTTTGGGTGATCTTCAGGCTCACCCGTGAACCCATGACAAGAAAGGCAGGTTTGGATAGTGTGATCAGACATGGGGACTGGTTTATAAATCAAACTCACTGCCGCCAAGTCCATTCCAATACATATTGACTTCCAGGGTAGGCTTCCAAGACTTTACATCTTTATAGACACACACAGCCTCATCTTCCTCCCCCAGAGTGACTGGTGGGTTGGAACCACTGTCCTTGTGGTTCACAGTGCCTGCATTACCCACTACACCAGGAAGGCTCCTTTAAAAAAAACAAAAACCAACAACATCCGATATTCCCCGGCAGTCTCCCACCAACATACTAACCAGGACAGACCCTGCTGAGCGTCTGAGAGCGAGAAGACGGGACGCATTCAGTTATCAGCATCTTCATTGTCAAGCCCCCAGTGGAGGTACTGGGACTTTTACTTCTCGTGCATGTTGTTTCATTCTACTAGAAATTGTGGTCTCATACATCTAAAAAACTGTCTTTCAACAGCATTTTCTTGCTGGGATGAAAGCAAAGCAAGTTTTTATCTTCCAGAGAGGAAGAGGAAGGAAGGAAAGATATATCAGACCTTGGGATCCAGGGCATAAGGCTGAGCTTGCTTTGCAAAATGTATAATGAGCACACCCGCAAGCAAAGACCAAACTCAGAACAATCAAACTTACTGCCATCGCGGCTATTCCAACTCACAGCAACCCGACAGGACAGAGTAGAAATAGCTCTGTGGCTTTCCGAAACAGTAACTCTTTACGGCACTAGAAAGCTTGATCTTTCTCCCAAGAAAGTGTTTCAAACTGCTGACCTTGCCGTTACCAACCCAACGCTTAGCCTGCGATGCCACCAAGGAGTTCATCAAACGATGGCCGCGATGTCCATTTAGGCACGCTGTTGGCTCTAGAGTCTGGAGGGTGAAATCGTGGCTCACCAGGTAGCTACAGCAGCCTGTACTTCACATTGACTGATTAAGTACTGTCTTTTTTTTTTAGGGTCTGAATTGCAAGAGCTACAGAAAATGATTGACAGCCTTCAGAGCCCCCAAGACCCCAACCAGGTGGCCCAGGCCCTCCTTCTCCGGAGGGAGGTTATGTTTCTGCAGTTCGACGCGGCAGTGAGGCATCTGGCCCGGTACGGCCGGGAGCGCTAAGCCTGTCTGTTCAGTTCTGCGGGCAGGTGTTCTCAGATGACCATCCAGGGAGGGCAACCTTCGCAAGATGAGCCGACATGCTTAAAATAGGCGGGGGCACAGCGGTGCCCAGGCACAGCCTGCTGCAAAGGGTGTCGGGGGGAAGGGTGTCTTGTTAGATAATACTGATCTTGATTTTATGAAATGTGTGTTCAAAACAGGTGGTTTGCGAGCAATTGGTACTTTCAATGTTCAGGCTGTCTGTCTCCTTGGGAGGAATATAAGTTTTGGTCCCTCCGAGGCTTGTTCGAAGAGTTTTGTTTGCGTTTCTCACCCTTTCTTTACCTTTCCACTGCACTGCCAAGGAAGGCCAAAGGAATTGATGGCTGAGCTAAGTTTATAAATAAATCATTTTACTTCTGGCCTGTACAATGGATTCAGTGCTCCGTATACCAAAAAACGGTTATTTTTGCATGATGAATTATGTCTTGGGTGAGAAACTTCATTTGGATTAAAATTCACAAATGTTTCCACAATAAGTCAGCTGTGCACGTGAGTGGGGAGGGAAGTGGGCAGGCAAGCCTGAGGGCTTCTGCTTACTCTTGTCAAAATTGAGCAACTTCCTCTGATAAATTCCCAGAGTGAATATTCAGCCCACGCCCAGGGTCCTCTTCCCTGTGGGCTGTAACAGCTTCCCACTGTCGGCAGACATGTCCAGAGAGAGAGAGTGACAGCTTGGGGTTTGTACAGCACTAGGGAGCACCTGGCTTACACATTGGGCAGTTCACCCCAAGGTTGCCGGTTCAAACCCACCATCTACTCTGAGGGAGGAAGATGAGGCGTTCTGCTCCTGTTAAGATTTATAGCCTCAGAGACGCACGGGGGCAGTTCTACCTTATCCTATAGACTTACTATGAGTTGGAATTGACTTGAAGCCACTGAGGGAGGAAGAGGGAGAGGAGGATGGAGGGAGTGATTCCTGGGTGGTGCAGATGGCTCGTGTGCTTGGCCGCTAAGCAAAAGGTGGGAGGTTCAGTTCCCCCAGGTGCCCCTCTGAAGAAAGACGTGACAATCTACTTCTGAACACTCGGCCGCTGCAAACTTAGAGCACACAAGGCCCCCGTGAGGCAGCACCAGCTCCACAGCAGCCCCGCTTTGTGTCTGCTCTGCCTCGTCTGTACACTGAACACCCCATTTAGAAGGTTCAAAAAGTTGGCAGGAAGGGGGGACCGATTACAAGGATCTATATATAACTTCCTCTCTGGGGGATGGACAACAGAAAAGTGGGCGAAGGGAGACGTCGGTCAGTGTAAGATATGGCAAAATAACACTTTATGAATTATGAAGGGTTCATAAGGGAGGGGCAGTGGGGAGGGAGGGGGAAAATGAGGAGCTGATATTAAGGGCTCAAGTAGAAAGTAAATGTTTTGAGAATGATGATGGCAACAAATGTACAAATGCTTGACACAATGGATGGATGGATGGATTGTGATAAGGCTTGTACGAGCCCCCAATAAAATGATTTTTTTTTAAAGTTGGTGGGGGAAATGGAATGGAAAGTTAATAGAACTATTCCACAAACTTCTACAGCCAGCTCCCTCATACATTCAGCAGGACAAAAAACCAGACTCGCCGGCTTCCTTTGTATTGACACACTGCCTTCTGAGTTAGCTCAGTCAAGGCTAGGATTCATGATTCTGGGCTCGGAGAGTCCAAGCTCAGATTATGTAGGGAATTCCCTTGGATAGAAGAAATGGGGAGAGACCCTTTTGGAGTTCAGGTACCCAGGGTGCGGCGTGCCACTCTTCTCGCAGGGGGCCTCTGTGGGCCCGGCTGTGGCTGCCACTCTGTGGGGACATAGGGGACCGTGTCTTAGGTTGTGTTGAGTTGGCATCAACTCGATGGCGGTGAGTGTGAGTTTGAGGGTCATAGACCCAAGGGAGCCACGTGTCCCTCCCTCAGGACTTCTCCTCTGCCCATTTGGACCCCCACAGTGTTGAACCCGCAGCAGTTTGGCTCTCTATTTGGAAACACACAGCTAGCACGTGCTAGACCAGATCGGAACCCAGGTGTCTGGCTGCAGATCGGGCCGCGGTGAGGGTGAGAGAGATCTTGAAGAGATGGCCGGCTAGGAGTAAAGAGAAGCTGAGTGAGGCGTGCCATCCTTCTTGATCATTTGACTTAAGCCTAACTTGCAAACCAGGCAAAGTCCTTAGATAAGCAAAGGAGACAGGAAGTTCTCCACCCTTCCCAGAACTGCCAAACCTGAGCAAGTGGAACTGTCCTCCCCGGGAAACCCTGCTTCTGGGGAATGCAGACCTCCCCAGGCTGCGAAAGAAGGAACCAAAGCGGTCCCTGGTGGGAGAGCAGCAGACTTCACAGGTTAGAGGAGAATCTGACTCAGGACAAAGGCCCTGTGGGGGCCCCTCAAGGGGCCCTGGTGGCATAATGGTTGGGAGCTCAGCTGCTAGTCCAAAGGTCAGCAGTTCAAAACACCAGTGGTTCCACAGGAGATCCACCATCTAGTCCTGAAGATTACAGCCTCACTCACGCACTGCCTGCACGTTGATTCTGACTCATAGTAATAACCCTACAGGACAGAGAGCCAGCTCCCTTTATAAGTTCTGAGGCAATCCATCTTTTTTTTCTAATCATTTTATTGGGGGCTCGTACAACTCTTATCACAATCCATACAGACATCAATTGTGTCAAGCACACTTATACATTCGTTGCCCTCAACATTCTCAAAATATTTGCTCTCCACTTAAGTCCTTGGTATCAGCTCCTCATTTTTCCCCCTCCCTCCCCACCCTTAATAATTTATAAATTATTATTTTGTCATATTTTACACTGTCCAATGTCTCCCTTCACCCACTTTTTTGTTATCTATCCCCCAGGAAGGAGGTTATGTGTAGATCCTTGTAATCAGTTCCCCCTTTCCATCCCACCTTCCCTCCACCCTCCCAGTATCACCACTCTTGGAAATGGTCCTGAAGGGCTCATCCGCCCTGTATTCCCTGTGTTTCCAGTTCCTATCTGTACCAGTGTACATCCTCTGGTCTAGCCAGCTTTGTAAGGTAGAATTGAGATCATGATAGCGGTGCGGGAGGGGGTGGGAGGAAGCATTTAGGAATTAGAGGAAAGTTGTATGTTTCACTGCACCTTGACTGGCTCATCTCCTCCCCAAGACCCTTCTATAAAGGGATGTCTAGTTGCCTATAGATGGGTCTTGGGTCCCCAATCTGCCCTCCCCCTCATTCACAATGATTTCATTTTTTGTTCTTTGATGCCTGATACACAATCCCTTCAACCCCCTGTGATCACACAGGCTGGTGTGCTTCTTCCATGTGGGCTTGGTGGCTGAGGCAGTCAATCTTTATGGGTGTGGAAAGCCTCATCTTTCTCCTGAGGTCCAGCAGGTGGGTTCCAACCGATGGCCTTGCAGTTAGCCATTCCTATCACACGACATCCAATTCCTATCACACTTCACCACCAAGGCTCCCGAATCGCAGCCTCAAGCCCCAAGCTCACTGGCACTGAGTTGATGCTGACTCACGGTGACCCTATAGGACCAGGGGAGAGCTGCCCCTGTGTAACTTTTTACAGGAGTAGAAAGCCCCACCTTTCTCCCAAGATTACAAGGAAACCTAGAGGGCGGTCCTACTCTTCCCCCCTCCCCCTCCCTCTCCCTTTCCTTCCCCCACTTCTCCCCCTCCCCCTCCCTCTCCCTCTCCCTCTCCCTTGGCTTGCTCCAAATATACGGTGTGGCCTACATTGGATGCCACAGATGATTCCGCGCTCAACTACTCATTGAAAGGTTGGTGCTTCAAACCCACCCAGAGGTGCCTCAAGTGACCTGGCAATCCGCTTCTGAAAAGGCCCCATCGCTGAAAATCCCAGGGCGCAGTTCTGCTCTGGACACGGGGGTGGCCATGAGCCTGCACTGACCTGACAGAACTAGCAGAGCAGGTCGCCTCTTGGTGACCGATTAGCTCAAGTTGTTGGATTGCTGCGTGTTTCTAGACACTACGCAGTTCACTCAGCCTGGAGTGCGGGCCAAGGCAGGTGCTGTCCTCTGACCGGCTGGGCACGTTCCCCAGGCCCATCAGCCTCTATAAGGTTGTCCCCCGACCTGCAGGAGGTGTTTACCAGCCCATGCGAGAGAAACGGCCGAGGACTGAGTTTATTGGTGGGTGAATTACCCATTTGCCTTAAAGAGGAATGCTTGGGTCTGACAATGCTGCTCGTCAATCTTGTCTATTTCCCAGCAGCAGCAGCAAACCACTGCCATCGGCCCCCGTTTCTGTATGTGTGACCTGTGTACGATGCCGTGGGTTGTGCATTTAAGGAGGAGCGTATCAGTAAGACAGTCGTTTATGACATCTGAAATTAAAGTGTCAGCACCCATAAGGAAAATATTATTGGAACGCAGCCACGGCCATTCAGTTGCTCGTGGTCTCTGGTGTTTTCATCCTGCACACTCAGAGCTGAATGGCTGCAACACACTGTGGGGCCCACAAAGCTGGAGGTAGCAATGATCTCTCCCCCTTTAAGAAAAGGCATGTCAACTCTTGATTGATTCAATCCTTTGCAATTGGGGGCTAGAGGGAGGTTACTACCCACCCACCCAACCTTGCAAACAAAACTTCCTCGAAGGGGCTCTACCCCAACCCCACTGCCAATGAGTGGGTTCGGACTCCAGGCGACCTTCTCGAAGAGAGTAGAGCCACCCCTGAGGGCTTCTGACGCTAACCATAGTTACTGGAGCTGCAGCCTCGTGTTTCTGCTTTGGACGGAGTGGTGGATTTAAAATGCTGACCTTGCAGCCAGCAGCCAAATGCCTTACCCGCTCCACCACCAGGGCTCCAAAGGAACCCTAGAACACAGAATCAGTTACGTGGCTTGAAAGGTGCCCCCCATCTGAGTGTATTGCTGAGGTGCAGGCTGATTCAGGTGAAAAGGAGAAGCTTGTAGAAATATTGCAAAGGTATCTGCAGTAATCCTGATCGAGTACAGTTGGCCCTTGCACAGCACCGACCACCCAGCTAATTTAACTCAAAGCTCACCACCATGAAGTAGATTCCCAAACCCTTAATGACACTATAGGACAGCGTAGAACTGCCCCTGTGGGTTGCTAAGGCTATCAATCTGTATGGGAGCAGAAAGCCTCCGCTTTCTCCCATGGAGCAGCTGGTGCATTTGAACTGCTGACTTTGTGATTAGCAGCTCAATGTGTAACCCACTGCACCACCAGAGCAGGTTTAAGTATCTAGTTTAAGACTACCTAAACAGACAGGAACCCTGGTGGCATAGTGGGTTTGCACTGGGCTGCGAATTACAAGGTCAGCAGTTCAAAACCACCAGTTGCTCCAGGAGAAAAAGGTGAGGTTCAAACACAGTTCTATCTGACACCACGGCAGTGAGTTTACAGTTGTTTAAACACATAGCTGCTGAGGTGTGTTATCCCAAGGTTTCTGAGAGGTACAGACTTCCTCATGGTAAGTTGGTCCTGGCTTATGACCATGACTGGAGCCTCAAGTGGCTGAGAAGCATAGTGTCTCAACTTTTGCCTGTTCTCTTCAGGACCACTTGGCAAGTATTGGCTTTGTTTTGGCTATCCATACCTTTAGGAAAGACCCTAGCATGTGCCCTGTGAATCTCCTGTCCCCTGCCCTTTAGCCAGCTTGTAGGGATCTCTCTTGCACATACAATAGCAGGGAGTACAGTGGCTGGAGCATGGGAGAACAGTGTGGAGCGTTTGCTATGCCTGTGCAGGTATTTTGACGGCCTGCTGGGGAGACCTGGCTTTATTCGGGGCTGGGGCTGGCAGGTGTGTCCCTGGCTGGAAGAAGCTGGCCTTTCATGCATTTCCCTGGAGGGTGGTGGTCAGACCCACCCTGACAGAAGCATAGCCCAGGGTTTGTCCACTGAAGGTCTGAGAGTGTTATCCGCTGGGGTTCGTGCACCGTGTTCAGTATTTCCGAAGTGCTGATAATAAAAGCACCCCCATCCCAAAGTGTCGAGATATCCATTCATTCAAGATGCTTCCCCTTCCCTGCCTTTTCTCAGATCATCTTGGAAATGATCAAAGTTCCTGGGGGTGGGAAGAACAGATGGGAGGGGACACCTCTGCTTCGGGGAACTCCTCCAATCCCAGCCTCTTGGGGTTGGCCTGGGGCTTGTCACCCCTCCTGGGCTCCCACTTTGGGGAAATATAGGCTGGTGACCCCCCCAGGTCTCATCCACACTCAGGGCTGTGCTCATCTCCAGGAGACCCCCTTCTCTGAAGTGGGGGTTCACATCCCTGTCTGCCATTGCCGACGGTTCCTTTAAGCCTCTGCCAACCCCCTTCTCCTTTGGCGTCCGTGGCTCTGCACAGGACGTGGACTCCAGCCATGGAGGATCCAGGCAAAAGGTCCCTTCTGTTCTGGGCTTGCCACCCCTACCCTCACACACACACACACACACACACACACACACCCCAATTTATCTGTGCCAGCTTCACCTTTCCTAAGGCATCCAGAGGATCTGGAAAGCTTTTCCTGGCTTGGTAAACTCTCATTTCTTTTGGAAAAGAACAGCACCCACGTTTGCTGAGCAGACTTCCTTCTCCAGCCGTGACTCGCTGTGTAAATGCCACGTGCTCGCCTTCAAGGTTTTGGGTCCCTGAGAGGTTTTATTTAAAAAATTTTTTCAAAAATTACCTTTCTTTCTCAAACCCATGCCTTTTGTTTCATCTGCAATTTGGTTTCACATATCAGAAACTATTCTCTCAGCACAGGAAGATTTTTAATGTCTTAAAAAGAATCAACAACTGTGATCTTTGCGCTAGAGCCACAACTGCCTGTGCTGGTGTGAACGAAAGTGAGAAATTCCATATTTCAAAGCTTCAACCACCACCGAGGCTTGTGGCCACCATATCGAAGACTGTAGATGATAGAGCATGTCCATTGCTGCAGAAGTTCTGTAGGACCTTGCTAGTTTGCAACGAAACAAAAGCCAAACTCACTGCCCTTGAATAGATTCCAACTCAAAGCCACTCTAGGGGTCAGAGTAGAACTGCCCCTGCAGGTTTCCAAGACAGTACCTCTTTAGGGGGGTAGAAAGCCTCTTCTTGCTCGGGGCTGGCTGATGCTCTTGACTGCTGACAAACAAGGTGGACATGCCAATGGCAACCTACTTCCAAAAAATCAGCCATTAGGCTCTGACCCAAGTGGGATGAGTCATAACCACTCAGCGACTCAGTCTCCTTCACCCACCTCCCCCTGGAGGCTACGACTGGTGGGAGCGAAGGCCAGTTAACAGAGAGAGGAAGAGGGGTCAGGGATGAGGTGGCTGAGGAAGAAACCTCAGTTATCATCTGGAAATGTCGCCATGCCACTGCTCTTTGAAGAGAGTGTTAAACTTAGAAATGTAAGTCATTGCTTTTAATGAACTTTCCCTCAATGTTTTTTCAGGACATTTTTGGCAGCTGGAAACACCCCTGCCTACCAGTCTGTCACCGACGGCATGTACCACGGGTTGCCGCCAATGAGCAACTCTCTCGTGAGGAGCCTCTTTGCACCACAGCTTGGCCTGCCCCCGCCACTGGATCCACAGAGCCTCCAGGTGTGCTCGCGGGAATCTAGAAAGAGGAAGCTGGTTGTTCCCTTGAAGAGTTACAGTCTTAGAAGCCCCCGGGGCAGATCTAGCCTGTCCTATGGGCTCACTGTGAGTCAGAACCCACCAGATGGCGATGAGTTTTCAAAAGGTCCGAGGTATCAAGAGGATTTGTTGAGGGATTTTTGTCCCTTGGCTTCTGTTTGGTTTAAATGTGTGTGTGTGTGTGTGTGTGTGTGTGTAGGGTGGGGGCCATCTCTGCTCTTCACTGGCTCCCCCCACTCACAGGCAGCCATGAGTCCCCATCAGGGTCTGTCTCCAAACTGCTCCCCAGGCTAGCAGGGCAACAGCTGCTCTTACTCGCAGTTGATAGCAGAACCAACATTTGGTCTTGCGGGTGCTGTGATCAGGTGAGCAGCTAGCTCGATTAGCCCCGATGATGACCTGGATTGTTGCAAGAGATGCCGAGGGCTCTTGTTGCGCCTAACAATATTACCCACTCCAAACTATCTTACCGAAGATCCCCTTCCAAGTTCATCAGGTGGGCAGCTCACCGCAGGACTGCCTCGCAACACGACAGGCAGCTTCTCCCAGCGTGAGCAATCAAGGGAATGAAGGAGAACCCGAGGCCGGAGCCACAAGTGCTAGGACCTAATTTAGAAGGGAGAGCCCATCACTGGTGCCAACACTGATCATTCAAAGCAAAGCACCAAGTCCCACACACATCCCAATGGAGGGGGAGAAGGCCATCTCTGGATGGGAAGACAATAGAAGACTTTGTGGACCTATCTTTAGGACCACCTCACAAGCCCAGGTCTTTTGACTTGATGTTTTGATGTTAGAAAGCTTAGCCCAAGTGACACTAACATCAACCTCAATAAGTCAGGCCACACTTTCAGCGACTCTGCTACAAGGCAGACTCCTGAGCCAATTGAAATCCAGAAGGGAGGGTTGGATTCTGACCAGTAGTTTTGCTTCTTCTGCCTCGGCATTGCCTGGAGGTAGGAGCCCTGGCTCCTGCTCCCAGGAGGATGTGGAGCAACTCCCAGTCGAGGAATCATCTGAAAACTCACTACCCCTGAGTCAATGCCAGCTCACAGTGAGCCCCTGTGGGTTTCCGAGACTGTAACTGTTTACAGGAGTAGAAAGTCCTGTCTTTCTCCCGAGGAGCTGCTTGTGGTTTTGAACTGCCAACCATACAGATCACAGCCCAACTTGTAACCACTAGACCACCGGGCTCCTAAGAATCATCTGAAGGTAGCACCGAGTCTGGACGTGTAGAATGGGGTAGAATGGGCAGGCCCCTCACATCCCAGGCTGCACATAGACCCACAAGCACTAAGGGATGCTTTGACCATTGGACAATAATGTGAAGAAACAGAGGTTTATGTGATCTTAGCTAGAACTGAGTCACAAGGGTGACACAGAAAGATTTTTAAGGTGCATAATACTGAGATTATTTGGTAATTTTACTTTTGTTATGATAAACATGCCCCATTGGTGTCACCCTGTTCTAGTACATTTAAACACTGGTATCAACTTATTATACTGAACCCCTAAGGACCTTCAGTGTTAAGCCACCTTCTGGAGGAGCTAAATAAACAAACAAACATTATTCTTTACCCCACCGGGAACTATCCATGAAGGAGTATTTCTCCAAAATAAATAAACCAACAATGCTTTAGGATACACTCGCAGGCATCGTGTTCACAGGTACCTATTGTCTGTTGACACAATTACTCATCATGATCATGTTTGTTATTGTTTCTTGTGTGTTTGTTTCTTAGGCATTTGTACTGTTCCCTTGGAGAACCTCTCTGGAAGATGGAGGACCATTTCCAGTTATGAGTGGCCTCCCAGATCCCCTAGAAGATAATATGCAGGTAGGGAGGTCTTATTTGTCCCCGAGAGAGCAGAATGCAGTCTGCAAAACATAGTCTTAAGTCCACGGGGCATGCCCTCCACACTCTAGCCCAGGGGTTTTCAGCCTGTGGGTCACGGCCCCTTTGGGGGGCTAAACAACCTTTTCACAGGGGTCATCCGATTTATAACAGCAGCAAAATGACAGTGATGAGGTAGCAATGAAAATAATGTTATGGCTGGGGTCACCACCACAAGAGGAACTGTATGAAAGGGTCACGGCGTTAGGAAGGTGGAGAAGCACTGCTCTAGCCAGGGCTGCGAGATCAGCACGAAGTTAGAAACCCGATGCTGAAAGACAAGTCTTGTTTTCTAACGACCGGGTGAGACTCGTGCTCTCGATCAGCAGTTACCTGGAGAGCAGCCAGCGCCTTGTCACTGAGCCTCCTCATAAAGCCTCCCCGGCTGGCAGCTTGTGACTCACCTGGGGAAGGAACAGGGATGAGGAGAACATTATAAGCAGGACCCATCGGGAGACCGTTTCTTTTTTAAATCATTTTATTGGGGCTTGTGCAGTTCTTATCACAATCCAGACATGCATCCGTTGTGCCAAGCACAGTTGTACATCTGTTGCCATCATCATTCTCAAAACATTTGCTTTCTACTTGAGCCCTTGGTATCAGCTCCTCATTTTTCTCCTCCCTCCCTGCCCCCCCTCCCTCATGAACCCTTGTTAATTTAGAAATTATTATCGTTTTGTCATGTCTTACACTGTCCGACGTCAAGGAGGCCTTTTTGAAGTGTGCCCTTTTCCTCCACATCTTTAAGGAAGTGTTGTTGCATCTTTTGCTCTTTTAAAAAACGAAAGCTATAATACTGTATTAAGAAGGTGGGTATGAAAATCAACCACATCTCCGCTTCAAGCTGGACGACCGGAGAGGGGGTGAGAATGAGGCAGGACAGGCTGTCGGTTCATGATGGTGGGGCCTGCGTGTTAGGAACATGGCTTTGTGTTGTTGGCTTTTGCATATACTCAAAACCTGGTCAATAAAGAGTTTCCCCAAAAGGAAAATCATAATCGTGGTTTAATCTTACTCCCCCCAACTCAGAAACGATCCCAGCGAATATTTTTTTTCTAGAATTTTCCCTTATATTAATTTAATTGTCCTTTTGGAGGACGGACTATTGACACTGCATGCTGGGTTCAGCTGTGCATTCTTCTGTCCCCTTGACTTGACAGAGGAAGGATCTCTGACTGCCATTCGGTAACGACTTCCTCAGACTATCACAGGAAGTTACCAGAATGGACATCACGCTACAGAAAGCTGACGGCAGAGTGGGTTACTCGTTGGGCTGCTAGCCACGAGGCTGGGAATTCAAACTCACCAGCCACTCCTGTAAAGACTGATGGTCCCCAACCCCCCAAAGGGGTGGTTCAATTCTGTGCGTTAGGGGCAGGTGTCAGAAGGAACTGGAGCCAGCATGTGAGAGCCCAGAGATACCTCGGTAGTGGACCGGCTCCAGGCTTGAACTCGCCACTACTCTGACTGCAAAACTAAGGAAAAAACCCTGCTCCTATGCGTAGCTTTGCCCAATAATCCAACTGGAGAAAACCTGTCCTGGCTGGAGAGTGAGTCACACATCGCCCCTCACCGCAGACGACGTGGGACGCTGAGTCTTGAGCATGGCTCTGATGCAGACAAGAGTGCTTGCGTTAGTGCGTTAAAACGGTCGCCGTGGGGCTTTTCTCTGCGCTTCACGTGCCTGAAGTACTGTCGCCGTGGCTCCAAAGGAAGTGAGTGACCCCGGCAGCAAAGCCAAGGGGACACAGAGAGAACCAAGATAGAGTGCAAGAAAGACATCATTGCGAAACGTGACTCAGGCCACCGCTTGTCTGATTCGGCAGCTGAATACAGTATGGCTAAGTGGATATCATTGTGGAAAAAAAAGGTGATTAACCCAGCAAATGTAGCCAAAAATGTGGTGGTGGTTACATAATTTCATGTCAACTTGAAAAATAAATGTAGAGGTGGAGTCTAGCCTGTCGAGCAGGCCACAGTCTGAAGTCTACTTGTGGGCGTGGACTTCTCATTAGGATTCTGGGACCATCCTCTCTCCCTCCCTGGAGGCCGGGCACGCTCTCTCTCTCTGCCTTTGTCTTCCTGTTGACAAGCCACAGGGAGACTTGCTGAGTCCTGTGAGGAGCCCCTTTCTCTGTTCCACCCTCCTGTGGAAGAGCTACACTTGGGGAGCTGAGGGAACCACACAGAGGCCTGCACCAGCGCAGAGATGTTTCCACTGCCACTGGATCCACAAGACTTTTGCACCCGCCAGCCTGTGATCCTCCTGCACTCTGCATCACTGCATGTGACTGCATGGATCTGAAGAAGGATTTATGGACTAGTATTGTACTTATGGGCTAATATCAGACTTATGGACTTGATCTGAACTGGGCTGGGATGTTTTCTCAATATACAATTGTTCTTTGATATAAAGCACTGTCCCTGGATTGTTTCTCTAGTCAATCCGGTCTAACACAAATGTGAAATCATTAACCAGGAGACCAAGAACCCAGACCATCGAAGAGGTTGAAAAGTTACTCTTAATTTGAGTAAATCAGAAAAAACTCAATGGTGACAGCTTATCCAAGGCAGTGATATGCAAGAAGGCTAAAGTCCTGGAAAAATGAATTTGTAAGTGTAATTTTAGGGCCTCAGAACCATTTTTTCCCTATGATTTCTTATGGGGAAAAATTGGTTCAGTTCTTGAACTTTTCTGTGTTCAAACATGAATTTAGACCTAATTGAGTTCGACAACCAAGGTTTCACCATATACCCTCAATACTGAATACTTCAACATTTTCCATCTCAACAACAGCACATCATTCTGTCCTGTACAATCTCCTACGTTAGACTCTCAGATTGCTTCATTAGGGTAGTTCTTAGAAGTAAAATAGCTGAGCACAAGGTACAAATTCTTGATCTCTGTAGTAACAATTACCTTCATGAAAATTAACACAACACTGGGGCCAAATGCCCCACCTTTCCACATTGCTCTACCACTCCACCACATCTGGCCTCAACCAGCCTCCACCCCTTAGTACTCTCCCTTACGTACATCCCAGGGTTCTGCAGTGCACTAGCAGGGCCACGCAGAACGCACAGCATAAAGGACAATGACCCAGGTCTTGTGGGTGCTGGTAAATCCCAATTGAAGTTCAGGAGTACCCTCCTCATCCCCAGGGACATGGATGTAGGTGAAATCAGATCCAAGAACCAGCCACAGATCTGAAAACTGGGTCGCTGGGAGTGAGCTGCTCCCTTCTGCGTCTGCTTCTCAGAGGGCTCATTCTACAAGCAGTAGGATGAGCAATTACTCACAGGCGAATCCTATCAGTGTCTCCCCCACCTTCATACCCAGACCCATGCAGGGAAAGGTCATTTGGTGGGAGTTTGGCTTGAAGAGTCACACTGAATAGCTCACTGCCCCTACAGTATCTGCTTCTGAGTTCACAAGGTTTCCAGTGGCTAATTGTTCTGAAGTGGACAGTCTATTTCTTCTCCTTAGTCTATTTTTAGCCTGGAAGCAGTGCTGAAACCTGTTCACCTTGGGTGACCCTACTGGTATTTGAAATATCAGTGACATCCAGCATCCAGCATGACAGCAACAGACAAGCCACCACAGTACACCAAACTGACATACACAAGTAAGTGGTGGTGGCATCCCTGGGTGGGGACACACTCAGCATCTTATGCCGAAAGATATGAAGAAGAAATGCAAGTCTAGAGTTGCAATGTTGAACGACGTTATGGGTAAAATATTGGACGACACAAGAAGCATCCAACTAATGTGAAAGAATGCACAAAGACACTATCAAAAAGAACTAGTCACCATCAAACCGTTTTAAGAGATAGCATATGATCAAGAACGAATTGGCGCTGAAGGACGAAGTTCAAGCTGCACCGAAGATATTAGCAAAAACACAAAGCTCCCGGAATTGGTGGAATACCAACGGAAGTGTCTCAGCAAACTGATGAAGCACTGGAAGCACTCGCTCCCAAGCCAAGAAATTCGAAACTGACTGGAAGAGATCCAAACGTGTACCTTTCGAAAGAAAGGTGGTACACATGATACAGAAATCATCAAACAATATCACTAGTATTACATGCATGTGAAATTGTGCTGAAGATCATCCAACAGTAGTGGCAGCAACA